CATTTTTCGTATATTTGCATTGTTTTGTAAATTTGGAATTTTTTCTATTGCTACTTGAATATCGTTTAATTCAACATCCGTTTCAGTAGTGTTTACGATTGAGGTTAAAAAGAAATCATTTTTTACTTTAACAACACTAGGACATAAAAATACACCTTTAAAGATTTCGCGTTCGGGACATAATCCTTCGCTTAATTCATTATTTATTACTTTAATTTGAACAATTGTTTCAGTTCTTGCGGATAGAATAGTTTTATTACTTCTTGAGTTAGAATTAGAGTTTTGATTTAGTATAAGATCGTCTGAACAGGATTTTTCTTCTGAACAAGATTTTGATTTATGATTTCGTGAAGAGTTACAAGTTTTATTTGTGCATATCTCAGTGGATTTTACACATTTTGGACTTGAATTTTCTTTGGATTTAGAGTTAGATTTAGATTGAATTGGATTGGATAGTAGTTCTTCACTACTTAAGGTTATTTGGATATCATTGGTTTCTAAATAAGAATGATCCTCTATGGATTTAGCATCATAAGGAAATATTTCATCGATATTAGAACTTGTCTCGATATTTTGATCTCTCAGAAATTCGTCATTGTCATTGTTTAATGGAAATTTTATATATTCAATTGGAATAGAACAATTTTTAAAGTTTAATTTATTTTCTTTATAATCAATTTGGCATTTATTTATTTCAAAAAAATCGCTACCTAATATACCGTCGAAATGAAGAGGAAAATCGTCTTCTACGACATAGAAAACATGAGTTTGGACAAAATCTTTTATCTTGAAATTTACGTTACAACTACATATAGTTTTATTTGGATTTAAGACATTTTTATCAATGCCTCGTAGAGTAATAGACTTAGAATAAATTTTTGGAATGTTTAGTATTTTTGAATATTTAATTAAAGAAATATCTGCGCCTGTATCGATTAGAAACTTGCAAGAGGATGGATTAGAATTATTTACTAAGGGTAAATCTACATAGGAAGTGACTGAGAAGTTGATGGTTGTGATACGGCCTGAACTGAACGAACTCCTCGAGAATCGACCGTTGGTTGTCGAGGATTCTGGAAGTTTAAAGAATTTGTTGGATTTTTGTTTTTATTGTTAAATTCGCGTTTTCTACATTCTTCTATAACGTGACCTGGTTTTTTGCAGTATCTGCAAAAACGTTGGGAAGTGTTGGTATTTTCTTTTCTTAAGTTTGGAGGAAAATCAGAATTGGAATTTGAATTTGAAGGTTTATAATTTTGATTTTGAGAATTTGACCTTTGAAGATTTGAATTAGGATATTTTGGGTTTTGAAAACTAGAATTTTGAAGATATCTAACATTTCTATCTGAATTGTTTTTATATCGACAGTTATTTGAGGAATGGTTGTTTCGTTTGCAAATATTACAGAATGGTTTGAAAATTTCTTGTCTTGATAACTGTTCTTGTTCTTCGGCAATTGCTATAGCAACAGCTCTTTCTAAGGAATCTGGATTTCGGGCTTTGATTAAAATAGAGAGGTCTTTGTTTAATCCTCTAATAAAGACATTTAGTGCTTGAGTTTTTAAGAGTTTAGTACATGCATTTCTTGCATCTGGAGATAAGTCTGGATCAAGTGTATTTATTAATTTTATATAGCAATTTTCAACTTTATTTGCAAATGACATTACATTTTCACTGGGCATCTGACGTAAGGAATGTAATTCCAATTGCCACTGACCTTCAGTTCGGCGTTCAGAATAAGCATCTAATAAGAAGTCTTTTAAATCTTTCCATTCGTCAAATGTTCTGTTTCTAGTTATGGCCCTAGCTTTATCGGTTAATTTAGTTTCTATAATGGCTAATAAGATGGGTTTGGATTGCGGATTTACTAAATTGTATGCTTTATCACAATTGTCTATGAATTCGTATAATTTTGATTTTGTACCATCAAATCTAATGAGAAGTTTTTCAGCTATTTCAATTGATACTGACATTTTATTTGAATTAGAAGTAGAAGAATTTGAAAGAGAATTTGAGTCGGGAGAAGGTATTTGTTCGTCAAATAAGTTACTTATATCAGGATATAAAGTAGACATACGTTTACAAGATTTTTAAAATATGAGACAGAATTTAAGATAGAATGTACTTACAAGTAGAATATTGTTGTTGGTCGCATAGTCTATTATTCCACGGGTTCACCTCTACTTCCGATGGAACTACAATTGGGTTATGACTGGAACTGGATTTCGAACTGGATGTACTGGACCCCAATGTAATTAGTTGTAGTGGCGATTTTTCCACACTGACAGTTTTTTTTGAATGATTCCTCGAAGGAAACAAGTCAATTCAAAAATTCCTCAGCTCTCCTTCTATCAGCAATCAGAGGAACTCTGCTACTAATATCCCACGTTCTGACACCAAATTTTGTTATGGAATACTATGCGTTTATTTCTTCTCCGGACTAACTCTTTGTTTTGGAATTAAACAGAATATATTGACATGTATAAATTTATTATATTAGAGGATGAAAATTACACTGCCTGTTATTTCTTAAAACTATGAATTTATAAGTTCTGTTATCTACAATTATTTAACGATGTTTCTGGATGGATTTGAGTACAAGAGATTGGACTCAAATATTAATATTAAAATAGCAAATACGGATAGCTTATCGAACAAAGAAATAAGAGAAATAAATTATTATTATTCCATAGATACGAAGTATTAGGCGAATAAACTAGCGAAACTTATTTATTCTAAATAGGAAAATATTTATGAAGAGTATTGATTCTGATTTCTAACAGCAAATAATTATTAGTGATTATACATGAGAACTTTTCATAATTGTAAATAACATATACCAGGTGACTAAAAACTATATAGAAATACATAGATACTTTAATTATCTTACATGTGAGTAGGTAGGTACATTACAATATAATTCAAAATTAGAAGAAGTTAACATTAATTATGTCATCAAAATATTATTTCTATCAATGTTTATAGATAAAACATTATTTTGTACATAAAACGGCAACTTTTCATATGTTTTTTTGTTCGAAAAATAAAAATACAATAAAAATAGAAAACAAAACTTTAGCGAAGCACAGAAAAGTGCTAATAAACCTCTTCCTTGTTTGAAAATATGTTTACCATCACTTCTTTATTGTCTAACCCTAGGTGGCCTACGGCGCCTCCTAACCAGGAAATTATCGTCACCACATGTATCGACAAGTTCCAGAATATTGTTTGCTCAGTGTTTAATTGTGTGTAAAATACGAGCATCCCCAATTTAAGAGACAAACCAGAATATTTACCTACTTGGGCGGCAAGTGCGTATTTACTGACACATTTCGATGAATGAAAATTTAATCATTACGGCATGTTACAGAATATTTCTATAAGGGAAATTAAACACAATGAGTGATATATAATGTGTAAAACTGTGATTTTATATGACAATTTGAATATAACATAATATGAATATAAACAAAACATAAAATTTGAGTTTTAAATCAATTGAAAAAATAAGAAAAAGATATTGTAGTCATTCAAGAGACCAAACAAAGGGAAATTTTTGAATGAAAGTGGGGAACTATGTATTTTTCAATAGTAGAGATCATGAGCGATTATTTGGACGTGGATTTATTATTAGGACAAAAAATTGCCGATTTGCTAAAACATTTTAAAGCATCATTGAACAAGTTATGTAGTCAAGTTATGTCGAATATAAAGGACCCTTAAGCTAGCGGGGACAAATGAGCGGAATCCAATTTAACCTACGTAATATTTTTTACCCATTTTTCACTAATTTATTACCACCCTAATAATTTTTCACCACCAAATCAACCTTAATGGGATTGATTTTGGTGGTTACGGTACAAATTACAAAAATAATATTTATGATATACCACAGTGCTTTGCTAGATTTGTATGAATTTATTACCACACTAGTAATTATTCACCCCTTAACTAGTCCTTATGAGAATTCAATAATTCTGTTGGGTTAATATTTAAGGTGATAAAAAATCTATTTATATAATTTTACTGTAGTCTTCTTGTAACTGAAAGTATAAATTGCTTGCCAGGTTTTTACTGAATTTTATCCACCCTTATAACTTTTGCCCTTGACGCCGCAGTTAATGGGAAATATTCAACAAGCTACGCATTCACGCTAGATAGAAATACAAAAGTGCTCTGTTAGATTTTTACTATATTTTTACCAGCCTGGTCATTGTTTTCGTAACTACCTTAATTAAAAACATTCTTAAATGTTACTCTGTGCTATCTAATATTTATTTTTTAAATGTTTAAATATTGAAAATATAAAAATATGAAAAATTATAAATTTTAACTGTTTTAAAAAATTCACTCTGATTATAGTAGTGAGTACGTGGCTTAGAGAAATCCCCTTAATTAAAAACCCCTTTTATGAATATAAAATAACTGAAATCAAGTTGAATTTTAGTAAATACAATGGAATTGTTCTATTTCACAGAATAATTACCAGGTAAGAAATATTCAACTTGAAATAATGTTATTATCTTTGAAAAATTAAAGGCAAATATCGAGCAGAATTTTAATAATCAAATCTTGCCTAAGTACTTTCGCTTTCTACAGCATCATCAGGGGCATTTCGTCAAATTTGGGATATCCAGCAAGCGCAGAATATATTAAACATGAAATTGAACATAAACTGCACATAACACTACACTAAAACAGGATTTAAAATGATTTAAAATTATTCTACTCTCTACATTCTTGTCGGCAACAGGAGAGAGAATGGTGTTTAACGGAAATGCTAAGGTGACATGTCACATACAAATACATAAAGATTTTTTTTAGTCACACCTCCTAAGCCCGCAGTTTTCAAAAATTGGACAAGAAAAATATAGAGATATAAATCAAAGTAAAAAAGTCTGCAGAAAGTCATTAAAGAAGCTTAACCGATATGGGAAAAAGATAAAAATATTGATGAAGAAAATTGTAAACATAGTAACTTAATTAACAAATTAACAAATTTAACTGCATATACTGACCTTCATAACTGTAATCGAATGGAAACACATTTTATCTCTAATGGTGGGTTCATAAGGAAGGTGTAAAGGAGGAGGAGGTAATCCTCCATACGTCATTAAATCCGGTTGGCTGATTCTTCTCATTTTTCGACCAACATCTCCATCTCCAATTTCCTTTTTATCTATCGGTATTGCCTTAACTTCCACCTTCATGTTTGGAACAAACACCATGTCTCCATATTGGTCTCTAGTGAGAACCTTTAAAAATAATATTAAATAATTCAATAATCAATAGATTATTAGGACAATAAGATAATAGAACAATATAAAAGACTTATTTACAAAATGTTAATTTTAGTTTAAAAATTGTAATAAACGGAAAGCTTGCTTCAATTAAAATAAAAGATTCTACCTTTTTCTTATGAATTCTTAGTCAGTAAATAATGAATTTATATACTTTTTTTTTTAATTTACCTTATTTTATTTTTCTTTTAAAATTTTAACTTTCTCATGTTGTCCCATGGTTTCTAATTAGTTAATGGATATAATAACAATATTCTTTTCTTACCATAATAATAGCAGGCCATCCACACCGTAAATCTTCTCTCGAATAAACCACTTGGCATTTGGTTGGATCCACTCGACTTCCTGGTTGTAACCATTGAGCTAAACGGCCACCACTGGAACCAGCGACACAGTTGACGAAATCTCGGAGAAACAGTTTTTCATTGGAATGAACACTGGAACAAAAAGTATTTTTCAAATAAAGAAAAACTGTTGATTCGTAACGAGTTGATTCTGTTTAGTTTATACTGTTTTGTAGTACGGTGTTAAGACGTATATCTTGTCAGTAGCTATTGTTGCAGTTTCGCAACTGTGTTTAAACATTGCTAAATATTAACAGACTTTTTGTTAGTTGTGATTTTCCAGATATAGTTAGCCAAGATTTCGCTTAAAAAGAAACAGACACTATCGAAAAATTTGACGGTTGTATATACAATGTTGCAAACAAAAGAGTTTTCATTCATACATTGTTATTAACAACACAGCGTAGAAAAATTATTGCACTACATCCACGCGTTGCCTCAACTTGTAAAAAACAACTCTTGAACCAACGTGCAATGGCGGGTTCTGAGAGACGAGTTTCATCTGTCAACCGATACAGTCGTGTCTTAGGGATAGCGGCCTGCTACTTCATGGCCGAACAATAGAAGTAGGTACAACTTTAAATTGTACAATGCATACAAAGACCCTGACATCGCCACTTTGATCAAAATTGGAAGACAATTCTGAGTTCCAACATCGAAAAGATTATAATACCCATGTTCGTCCGTCTAAAGATCTGGTCTACTGGCAAGGATCGATCCCACCGTAAACCGATAATCTCAACGGAAATAAGGGCTCGTGCGACAATCGTAGCGAACTACGATTGCCTAGTAAAGTCACATTGTTTTGAGCCTTTCGACTCTCGGAACTCCAAGAGATATCGTTGCCACCTTTGACTAGAAAGGATACGGCCTTAGAGGCGTTCAGGCATAATCCCACGGATGGTAGCTTCGCACCATTACCCGCTCGAGTAAGTGCGTCAACCAAATGTCCGAACCTGCGGTTCCTCTCGTACTGAGCAGGATTACTATCGCAACGACGAGTCATCAGTAGGGTAAAACTAACCCTACTGGATGAGTCACGAAGTAAGACCCTTGCAGGAAGACCTAGACTACAAAAAAGTTATAAGGCAGGCACCAACGGAGAAAAAACATCAGAAAGGCCCAGGCTTAGGTATATGCAATAGGTAAACAAGGCCTAAAAATCTAAAAAACCTTCATCTTAAAAAATCTTAAAACAGGCCAAACCCTCAAATGACACGTACAAGAATTATCAGTTTTCCTTTGACCGATCGAATTACCACAGACTAAGTTCTCAGACGGATAAATAGTAAGTGCAAACTATTATTTACAGTCAAAAGTCGAAACCGAAAATGTATTTATTATACTATAAGAAATGAAGAAAAATGCAGGTTACTTTAAGCCATTCAAAGCAAGATTGAGCAGAAGTGTCGGAAGAAAAAAATCTCCTGGCTTGCTAAGTTGCGAAAGTTAAGGTTGATTCAGAACAACAGTCATGGGATGATCAGATCACAGTCAAATTACCGTCAAGATAAGGGGCAACCCTCTCTCTCTCTTCAATCCTGACCCCCCAGGGGGAGTGTAGTGGTCGACGTGATGTCGTGTATTGTTCGTCTCCAGAGATCTCTGTCTCTGGTCATTTCTTTTAATTCATGCATAGGTCTTTGGCATATTCCTGTAATTTGATCTATCTATCTTGTTGGGATCTTCCTCGTGATCTTCGGCCTTCTACCTTTCCTTGTATTATGAGTCTTTCCATGTTGTCTGTGTTTGCTCTCATAACATGCCCAAAATATTTTAATTGTTGGAGATGGACTTTACTAGAGAGTCGTTGACTAACTTTTAGCTTTCTTAAAATTGAATTATTTGTTCTACGGTCGGTCCAAGAAATTCGTCACATTCGTCTCCAACAGAACATTTCAGTGGCGTCTATCTTTCTTCTCTCCGATTGTCTCAGAGTCCAAGATCCACATCCGTAGGTCAGTATTGGGAATATTAAGCAGTTGGTCAACCTCATCTGTATCGCTCTTGAAATTTGACAGTCCTTCCATATTTTGGTCATTTTTGCTGTGGCAACTTTTGGTAGATCACATCTACGTTTAATCTCTTCTTGTAATGACCCTGTGTTTGTGATTAATGATCCCAGATATAAGTATGAGCTCACAACCGGTCAATTGTGGTTATGTGTGGATGATTGTTGTGTAGTCTATCCACTATCATGATCTTTGTCTTTGATATGTTTAATTGCAGACCAAATATTTGACTTTCGCTTTCGATCAGTCGTATAAGTTCCATCAGCTCTGCTTGACTATTTGCAAGAAGGGCTGTGTCATCTGCGAAACGTAAGTTGTTTAGTTTATGACCATTTATTGAGATGCCCTTTTCCCATCCTTCAAGTGCTCTTCGCATAATATACTCCGCATATATGTTGAATAATTGTGGAGATAGTATACATCCTTGTCTGACACCCCGTTCTGGATGAAATTCGTTCGAAAGTGTGTCAAGTACTTTAACTGATCCAGTAGTGTGTTCATATAGTTCGGTTATAAGCGTAATTAGATGTTGTGGTACGCCTACTTCTTTTAGTATTCGCCATAAGTGTCTCCACTTGACCCTGTCGAACGCTTTACGGTAATCTATAAAACAGATGTATAGTGGGATGTTGAATTCCCTAGATTTCTCGATTATCTGTCTTATATTCAGCAGGTGTTCTCGAGTGCCTCTACCTTTGGTAAATCAAGTTTGCTCTTGTGGAATTTCTCTTTGAAGGAATGTTTTCAGTCTCTCATTGATTATATGTAGCATTATCTTGCTGGCATGGGATATAAGAGAGATAGTTCTATAATTGTCGCATTTATGGAAGCTGCGTTTTTTATGTATGGTCGTTATTGTAGATTTTGTCCAGTCTTCAGGCCATTGTTTGGAATGCCATATTTGGTTACAGAATAGATGAAGTAACTTTACGCTGGTTTCTTCTGTGGCTTTAAGCATTTCTGCTGTTATCATATCTGGACCTGGTGCTTTGTTATATTTGAGCTTGTTGATAGCCTGTCTTACTTCATTTTCGAGTATATCAGGTTCTTTATCAAGGGGCAACCCATTCACACACCAAATCCGGGCAGATGACCGTCAGTCTACTTCAGCATTCAGTTCGATCAACATACCTAAGAGAAAAACACTCTATAAAATAGGATTGCTTTGGGAAGAAGAAGTGAGACCTGAGTGAGATTCGAGAGTGAGTACACAAAATATTTGTATCAGTGACGAAACAAGTGACAAAAATAGGTGGCTGACTGACTGTGTCCTATTCACATCAACGTGGAAGTCCGGTCCAGTCAAGATCAAGAGATCAAGTCACAGTCTTTGTCGCTGGCGAAGTGACCGGAGGGGCAGTGATCTTGACTGTACGTACCCGTGCATCGCGATTACCTCATTGGAAAACCACAGAATCAACCTTGACTTGAATGAATGAATCAGGTGACTGTTGGTCTGAATTAACCTTTAAGGACAACGTTTAGCACAATGTTGACCGGAAGTATTTTGCAGTAGAACGAACAAAGTCCGTATTGCAGAAATTATTGCCAACATCCGGAACGGATACGGTACCAAAAAAAACCACCAAGTTCTAGTTTTACTCGTATTTTCTGCATTTTATGCTATATTTCGCTGGACTCTGAAAGTCCACTGCACATCAAATGTAACCTTTGTCATATTTAATATACACTACTGCCCAAAATGTACCATAAGTTGTTTGAAGCTATTTTTCTTCTCAACAGATTATTGGATTTTAATGATTTTTTTTCACATTATCGGTCTATTTTTAGTAAATCACGTTTACTACACAAAGTTGCGTTTTTTCATCTTACTTTGCAACATATGGAATTTATTAGAAAGAATCACTATATTGTATTAATATTTCGAGAAAACTGTCACATGTAAGCATGTGAAGTGACCTTTAATAAGAAGGTTGGGAACAGTGTGTGTCTGACAGTGTCAACGGGGACATCCGCCTTCCTTGACAACGTCACTCCACATGCTATGAGGCTAGGTGCAACGCATCGAGTTGGTGCAACGATATAACCTAGGAATAATAATATGTAACGTTCTGATAATATAACGAAATAAAGTAATACAACTACAGTCATCTATACTTGTTTTATTACATGTAACATGGTGTCAGGTTAGTTGGAAGAACCTTGACCAAGGAAATTAAGTCTACACTGCTGAAAGTAAACTGAAGTTTGTACAAAATGGAGGCAATATTTACAACACCCAGGCCCTAGTATTCAACCAGGATGTCCACAGTAATTTAACGACTTTCCTGGAAGGCTTAGAAATATATTTAAAAGCTACGGGGCTGGACAAGAAAGACGATGAGGTTAAGGTGGCTATCTTATTAAACATTGCTGGGCAAGAAGCTCAGAAGAAATTTAAAAATTTCAGTTTAAGTGAGGAAGACAAAAAAAGTTCGAGGTGGTTGTAAATGCATTTAGAGAGTATTGTGCACCTTTAAGAAATGAGACATATGATCGTTATAAGTTCTTTACACGAAGACAACAGGAAGGCGGATTATGGAAGCAAATAATGGATTTCTGTGAAACTAGAATGTGGCCCAATAATATAAATCAGGACCAGGAAGCTAAGACATTTTTCAAGATAAAAGAAAATCTATTTTGTAATAATGGTGTTTTATATTACAATGAGAAAATTATCGTTCCCAGATCATTAAGAAAATCAATCATATCCAAAGTTCACAACAGTGCTCATCTTGGTATTGAGAAATCTAAGGCGAGAGCATGAAGTCTTTATTATTGACCAGGTTTGAGTTCTGATGTAACACTTTTTGTTGAAAAGTGCAAAATATGCCTAAAATATCTAAGAAAACCTCAGAAAGCACCTCTCGATTAGCATGATAGACCAGATATCCCTTACTATAAAATAGGTGCTGATATTTTAAATTATGGAGGTTCTGATTATCTAGTAGCGGTTGATTACTTCAGTCACTGGTTAGACCTAGTAAAGTTAGAATCAAAAACGGCACAAGAAATAATTAAAAAACTAAAAGTTATGTTTTCCACACACGGATCCCCAGCTGTTTTTGTAGCGGATAATGTTCCATTTGGTAGCGTTGAATTCAGGCAATTTGCCCGAAAGTGGAATTTCAACCTAATCACATCACATCTAGTCCAAGATATCTTCAGTCTAATGGACTAGCAGAGAGAGCAGTTGGGATTTGTAAAAACATGTTTAGAAAATGCAATGACTGATGAAGATATACACAATGCATTAATGGAGCACAGAACAACTCCTTTAACAGGAATTGGATTATCCCCATCTGAACTTCTCAACAACAGGGATCTTAGGACAGCTATTCTGGTATCTCAAAAAGTTCTATCTAAAAAACCCATAGTTGATCTAAATAGATTAAGAGAACAGAGGAGTAGAAGTATTAAGTATTATAATAAACATTCTCGGGTTAGAAGTGAGTTTAAAGTAGGTGAAAGCATAATGTTAAGAAAAGATAAAATATGGGTACCAGGTGAAATTGTTAGTATTACTAATAGTCCAAGATCTTATTGGGTAAAAGATAATTTTGGTAATAGTTACAGGAGGAATTCATCTTTTATTAGACGTTATCCTAACAAATATGTTCAAAACACGTCATACAACGTGCCTTTTGAAGAAACTGATGTTTTGCCAAGTTCTGATACAGTTCTTTCAACTAGTAAGGAAACTATTCAAAATAATAGTAATAGTGAACATAATAACGTTGTAACACGCTCTGGTAGGAGGGTAAAAAGACCTTCCAGGTTTAGGGATTATGTTTGTTAAAAGGGGTAAAGGGGAAGATTTAAGTAAAGGATGTAAGCATGTGAAGTGACCTTTAATAAGAAGGTTGGGAACAGTGTGTGTCTGTCAGTGTCAACGGGGACATCCGCCTTCCTTGACAACGTCATTCCACATGCTATGAGGCTAGGTGCAACGATATAACCTAGGAATAATAATATGTAACGTTCTGATAATATAACGAAATAAAGTAATACAACTACATTCATCTATACTTGTTTTATTACATGTAACAAATACTCTTAAGATTATAGTAAAAAAATATCTCAATATGTATTTCTATTAATAAAGATTATACAGAATTTTAAATGTAACAAGTTTGTATTAACATTTAAAGCCAAGAACACACTACATACATAAACTTTATTCACATTTAATATAACTAAAACCTAAGAAAACATAACCGAAATAATCTTTACCAATTCCCTCTACTAAAAACACTTAATAACGAGTATTTTCACCCCTACATCTAATTACTTCTCTCACCGTAACTTCTTTGTCGCCAAGAGAGACAGGTGTAGGTTGTCTGCTCCTGAGTTACTGAGAGTATGCTCCACAAATTCTCTATGGGATTTAAATCAGGGCTGAAGGGTGACCAGTTCATAGTTTGTATTCCAACCTCGTCCAAATAATCACGGACCATACGTGCAACATGTGGTCGAGCATTATCATGCATTAAAAGAAAATTATTTCCTATGTAAGGAGCAAATGGAACTACATGGATAAACAAAATGTCTGTTTCTTCTTGCAGTACCGTCTCCTATCGGAGGTAGGCTACTATCACAGCAATGTTTACTTTGTTGGGTGCAGCTCTGAACAACTGTATTGAACTGTACCCATACCACTCCCTTAAATTGCGCAACCAGGAAATCCTCCTACGTCCCACATTTCTCTTTCCCGAGATTTTCCTTGGATTATGAGTCTAAGCAGAGAGTACTTTTCTCCTCTCATTATGTGGCCCAGATATTCCAGTTTTTTCGTTTGTATGGTTTTTATGACTTCGCATTTCTTCCCCATCTTCAGCAGAACATCTTGATTTGTTACTCTTTCTGCCCATGGTATTTTCCACATTCTCCTGTAACACAACATCTCGAATGCCTCAATGTTTTTGATGTTTATCTTTTTCAGTGTCCAGGCTTTCATGTCGTACAGCAGAACGGAGAAAACATAGCACCTTAACATTCTCGTTCTTAAGTTTATATTTATGTCCCGGCTGCATAGGAACTTTTTCATTTTGACAAACGATTGTCTCGCTATCTCTATTCGCCTCTTGATTTCTCTTGTCTGGTCATTAGTATCAGTGAAGCAAACCCCTAAATATTTGTAGAAAATGTCTGTAATATACCTTTTACTTGTTAAGAACCTCTTCGTAAATCAACAAGGTCCGTTCGCGATGTAAGAGATATTCCTCCCCAAACCATGACAGATCCTCCATTGAATAAAGTAATAGGTCGCATGTTACAGTGTGCATAGCTTTCTCTAGGCTGTCGAATAACTCTTACATATCTATCTAAGCTAAATAAGCAATACCTCGATTGATCAGTGAAGAGCAAGTGCTCCCAGTCATCAATATACCAGTCAAAGTGCTCTCTAGCAAATTGTAATCTACTTATACGATGATTTACTTTTTAAGCTGGTGTTCTGACTGGTATCCTTACCTGCAGATGGTTCAGCGAGACGCCTTTGTCCAATCTAATGGTTATACTAGTTTGAATATGATGAACATCTGCCACTTGTATTGTGTAAATGTCTCATTGTGACAAAACGTTCTCTAATAGCACTTAATTAGAAATATTTCTACAATATAAAAAAACAAATAATCGAAATCCAACTAAGGGTTCAGAAGAAGAAATATAGTTTAAAATTTCGTGGTCAATTTGAAGTGGTGCCTGAATTTTGGAATTACAATCATACATTGTAATATACACTCACAAATTTGTTTAGATCCTAAGAACTTATAGTAATGTATAATACACAAAGAAGCACTTATTTCATACTATTAAGATATGGATTATTACGTGCTAAATTACTCATTTAAACCGAAGCCAGACATCTCTACGGATTAAGTAGTTGATAATTCTGCAATTAAAAGTAACAGTTTTAAGTGATGGTCAGGTTTCATGTTAAAAGATGGGTTCTAATGATTTAAAATTTGCTATTATATAGCTGAGAACCAGTGATGGGTTAGCTCTTCATTTGAAATTTGAAATCACGATAAGTAAATAGTGTAGAAATAATATCTAAATAATAATGTCCGAAACGTATCAACTATAAATGTAGTTTTAAATAGATAACTTTGTAACAAATATATGTTAACGTAAGGGCTGTATTAAGTAGTTATTAGAAATTGAAACACAACTATTAGACCGGGCCATTTGTGGCGTAATTGGTGGAGCAACTAATGAAGCCACTAAAATAAAGCGCCAAAATTATCAAACAGTGATGGCTCCATCTCAAAAATAAATGAGTTGCTTAATTGAGAGAATGTCGTTAAACGAGACATTGCTTCCCCTTTATTAAAAAAGAGGATAAAGAGAAGGCTAGAACCAGAGATACGGAATCTTACTGTATTT